AATAAGTAAAGGGGACATATATCATGGGAAAAAGGAATAACCCCTAATTTCCTATCAGTATGTAATGTGATATACCAGAGCCCTGACCCAAATCTCACAGATGTCATCAGTAGCTTTGTGGATAAATATTCTTTTAAAGTCAACGATAGACTGTTGAGGTGCTAGAAGTATGCATTTCTGATTGAAATACTCACCAACGAAATTGTACAGAAGGTACACAGACAATTCTAGGTTTTGCTTCAATTTTACCTACTAAACTTTCTTTCATTTCATGAAAACTTAAGATAAATGGATCTCAGGGATATAATAATGAAATAGCTCACCTGTGATGGGACACTTGTCAGGTGGGGGGAGGGAGTGGAACAGAAAAATCACAAAACAAAACACACTCTCAAGGGGATATTGGATGAAAATACTCAGTACCCTGACATCTTCCATCCGTGTTTTCTTCCAAACATTCCCTCTGTTCCCAGCACCTCAGGGGAGGCTGGTTTTAGAAACAATGATACCAGGCTGTGGGTAGGAAGTAGCAGACACCCACCAACTACGGGTCACTTGGCCTCTTAAACCTCTTTGAAATTCAAGAAAGCCATGGGAGGCCCATGGGAGCTTGAGTGGAGAAAGAATAACCTTATCAAGGATGTGGAACACCACTCCTGATTGTCTTTCAATCTCCAAATTCAACTTAATTTTTCTCCTATGTAATTCTGATTATGTTAACCCATATTTGACAAAGCCTGGCGCTTTATGATGGATTTTCATCGATATTTAGCAACTGTGAATAGACCAGGAATGTGACCATAATCTCATTTGCAGGGAGTTTGGGATATTTATTACAGGAAAACACTGGCTTGAAGATGAGGGGTGCTCCTTCAGGAAGCATCAATAGGGAGCTATCCCCATGGAGGTGACTCCTTGTTCCCATCACTAACTCTGCTTCAATTACCCCTTCCTCCATGGGAGGAAGCCAAACTTCCCCTAAGTTCCAGTGTGGCTGAGCCTCTGTCTGCAAAGGAGGTGGCCACCAGTACTCACGGCTGCAGTCTAGAACATTCTAGTCGGTACCACCCATGCTTGCGGAACTCTTTCTAGAGCTGCAGGTAGGTCCTCTAGATTTGTGGCACATTCTGTGGCCGACAGGACAGCCAAAGATTATTTCTCCTTAACTTCTCCTCCAGCCCAAACCATCATCCCAACCCAAGACCTGTGCATTTTTTAAAAAAGGGAATTTAATTGCTCCTTTAGGGAGTTAGCCTTAACCAGATTCTAAATAATGCATCTGATTCTAATTTATGATCTATAGGCAT